CAATCTGTCCAGCCCAGTTAAAACCTTACTGTGAGCCGGGCGGTCGTGGCGGCACACACCTTTAGTCTCAGCACTTGGGAGGCAGAGGCAGGTGGATTTCTGAGTTCAAGGCCAGCCTGGTCTACAGAGTGAGTTCCAGGACAGCCAGGCCTACACAGAGAAACCCTGCCTCAAAAAAACAAAAAACAAACCAAACAAAAAAAACCCTTACTGTGTGCCTTGCCTGCCTGCGTATCTGTGCACCACATGCATGCAGTGTTCAAGGAGGATACAAGAGGGCATCAGATCCCCTGGGACTGGAGTGACTGATGGTTGTGAGCCATCATGTGAGTCCTGGGAATGCAACCCAGAGAGAGCACCAAGTGCTAGTAACACTGAGCCAACTCCCCAGCCCTGGCTTTTGTTTTTCTTTAGATCATCCTCTACTCTTGATTACTTTAACTTTAGTTATATTTTTATACTTCTTTTTTGCCCTTTTCTCTTTCTCGTCTTTCCTTTCTTTTCCTTTCCTTTCCTTTCTTTTCCTTTTCTTTCTTTTCTTTTTTTTTTTTTTTTTGGTTTTTCGAGACAGGGTTTCTCTGTGTAGTCCTAGCTGTCCTGGAACTCACTCTGTAGACCAGGCTGGCCTCGAACTCAGAAATCCTGCCTCTGCCTCCCAAGTGCTGTGATCAAAGGCGTGTGCCACCACTGCCCGGCTTCTTTTCTATTCTTTTCTTTCTTTCTTTCTTTCTTTCTTTCTTTCTTTCTTTCTTTCTTTCTTTCTTTCTTTTGTTCTGTTTTTTTTTTTTTTATTTTTCAGGACAGAGTTTGTCTGTGTAACAGCTTTGGATATCCTTTGGAACTCATCTGTAGACCAGGCTGGTCTTGAACTCACAGAGCTCCGCCTGCCTCTACCAACCAAGCGCTGGGATTAAAGGCATGCGTTGCCCCTGCTCTGCTATAATTTTTCTATTATGGGCTGAAAAAGTACAATCTGTAGATGTTTCCAGATTAGTTTTGGCATTCTCCCACTCCCTGAAATTCAGACCCACTTCTCCTGGACAAAAGATAAGAAATGTGGCATCCTTGCGTAGTCTGCTGGGAAGTTCAATCCTGGTGCAGACAGTCAGGGATCATCTGTGTGGCGTTTGGGACTGCTTTTATAGTTAGGTTACTATTTCCTCATTTCCGAAAAAGCTGCCAAGCCTGCTTTGTGATGTTTAGTAAATGTTTTGCTGCTGTTCGGAAACCGTTTATATATAGCATGTATGGGCTGCATTCAAAGTGCTGTACATCAATTTAGGATTCTTCAGATTAGCTATTTGCAATTCTGACAGCTTCCAACTTCCTAATCTCCTTAACCTTAATTTTGGACCCTATGAGAAATAGCTTCATAACCAAAATAGGAGTGACATGGTTGGCAGAATAACGTCTCCCAAGGATATTCACATAGAACCTTTTAATAGGTAAGGGGACATTAAGGTTTAAGATTGAATAAAGTTTGCTAATCAGATGATCTTAAACGAGGCAAATTATTCTGGATTACCTACCTGAGCGCTGAGTAATCATAGCATCATAGTGACTGAAATGTGGATGAGAGGGGCGGAAGGGAGGGGAGCAGCCTATGAGATGCTGTGGTATTGACTGAAGATAGAGGAGGAGAGACAAGAACCGAGAAACAAAATCAACCTCCACAGAGCAGGAAAGGCGTCTATCTAGCATCTCCTCCTCCACAACCCTCCAGAAAGAACCACAGCCTGGCTGACACTGCAGTATTAGACCTGTCAGTCTCCGAGCTGCAGCTGAATAAGATAATTGGTGTAGTTGTATGCACGAAAACTAATTTACTATGGCAGCAAATGAAAGACAGATGGGGACTGGATGTGTGCTTTTCATAACCAAAGAAAGTTGTAACTATGTCTATATAAGACCAGCATATTTTACACCACTCCTTCTTCCAGGATTAGAAAATACAACTGAGTTTTGGAATGGTTCCAATTCCCACTTATCTGAGATTATATCCCATACAATTATTTTATCCTGAGGAATTTCACATTGGCAATTTTGTAATCCTCAAATATAAAGAATACTTTCATTGGGCTGGAGAGGTAGCTTAGAGGTTAAGAGCACTTATTGCTCTTGTAGAGGACCCGGACTTGGTTCCCAGCTCACAGCTGCCTGGAGTTCCAATTCCAGGGGGATCTGATACTGTCCTTCTGACCTCCAGCCTGGACTCATAAAATGGCATTATTGGGAACTTGTGGAGACTAGGGGGACAACTGTCCTAGGAGGAATTAGGCCATGGGGGCCAGGCCCTGGAAGTGTAAACCTGTTTAAGAGATCTTCTCTTAGGCTGCTTTCTGGTTGCCAGGAGGTGATGAACTTTACCATGATGGGCTGCCTCACCCAGGCTTGGAAAGAAAACAGCTAGCTAACATAGATGGAAACCTCTGAACCCAGGAACCAAAATAATCCACTCTTTCTTTTTAAGTATTTTGGCACAGTGATGAAAATTGATTAATGCAGGCCGGGCAGTGGTGGCGCACGCCTTTAATCCCAGCACTTGGGAGGCAGAGGCAGGCGGATTTCTGAGTTCGAGGCCAGCCTGGTCTACAGAGTGAGTTCCAGGACAGCCAGGACTATACAGAGAAACCCTGTCTCAAAAAAATAAAAAAAAAAAAAAAGAAGAAGAAGAAGAAAGAAAAGAAAATTGATTAATGTATGCATGATAAAACTGGCAATACCCCAACAAATGATTGATGACTTTAAAATGTCAAGACTGCACCCCCAGTAGAATTATGTACTGAGCATTCATTTTTTTTTTTTTCGTTTTTGAGACAGGGATTCTCTGTGTAGTCCTAGCTGTCCTAGAACTCACTCTGTAGACCAACCAGGCTGGCCTCGAACTCAGAAATCCCCCTGCCTCTGCCTTCCAAGTGCTGGGATCAAAGGCGTGCGCCACCACCGCCTGGCCTGAGCATTCATTCTGTGCTAAGCTCTTACTGTATTATATTAAACCCCTGGGCTCATGGCAGTGAGTAGCGCCTACATTCTTGCTCTCATTCTGCTGCTCCTAAGAAACTTACTTGTATTTTTAGGGGTTCCATAATTGAGAGGGAAAGAAAATAACAACAAAGAGCTGGAAGCTTGTTTTCTTTCTTTCTTTCTTTCTTTCTTTCTTTCTTTCTTTCTTTCTTTCTTTCTTTCTTTCTATTTTGTTTTGTTGTTGAGACAGGGTTACACTGTGTATGTAGCCTTGTGTGTCCTGGAATTCACTCTGTAGACCAGGCTGACCTCAAACTTAACAGAGATCTGCTTGTCTCTGCCTCCCAAGTGCTGAGATTAAAGGTGTGTGGTACCACGATGTCTGGCTAAGAAGCCAGAGGCAGAGGCAGAGAGCCAGAGCTTTTTTTTTTTTTTTTTTGGTTTTTCGAGACAGGGTTTCTCTGTATAGCCCGGGCTGTCCTGGAACTCACTCTGTAGACCAGGCTGGCCTCGAACTCAGAAATCCGCCTGCCTCTGCCTCCCGAGTGCTGGGATTAAAGGCGTGCGCCACCACCGCCCGGCTAGCCAGAGCTTTTTTTTTTGTTTTCTTTTTCTTTTTTAAAGACCTATGTAGGTCTCCTATTCTGTCCTTGCTGGGAACATTGAGGTTGTATAGGAAAGTTCCCAAGTCTTAGTGGATGCATAAAATGGGTAGAGGCCTGTAGTACTGGCTATCAACATAGTGGATGGTGAAGACAGAGTTGTCTCTGGAACCCGGCTGAGAGAGGAAATGAATAGGTGCAAGTGTCTGAAGGTGCTTGTTCTGCTAGGATTTATGGCTCTTCTTCCCTAGCCAAAAACTGTGGCTTGTAACCCTGCATTGCCTATCTTTTGTTTCAAATATCCTATCCTAAGCTCCTGATTCACCTCGTTTGTTCATTGTTGAAACAAACACTCTGAAACCGTCCTAGTGCCAAAGGCACCATAGCAGGGAGATCCTGCTCACTGCAGGGATGGACAGCATCTAAGAGCAAAAGGTGACCAAGACTTGTCAGCTTTGGCAGGGACCTGGGGGTGAAGAGAAACCTCCATCCTAGCCCACCCAGGCCACGGCTGCAGCAGTGAGGGCAGAATAGGCAAGGGAGGAGAAACCTCATTTTCTGGATGGCATCCTTGTGCCTATAATCACATCTTGCCCCATTAAGGGGGGGTTCTTGAGCAGTGAGATGAACACTGGATCCCTAGGCCTACCAACTAGTAAGTAAGGGGCCAAGTAGACATTAATACTCTTAAATTTACATAGCACATAATCTATGCTGCACCACAGGGTTTAAAACATCGCATAAGTGAATACACCTTTAATTCCAGCACTTTTGGGGAGGGCGGGGGGAGAGGCAGAGAGGCAGAGGCAGATGGATCTCTGTGAGTTCCAGAGAGATCCTATTCTCAAATAAAATAATGCACATTTTTTTCAGAAATTAAAAAAATAAAACACCTGGGCATAGGGCACATGCTAGTACTGAGGCAGAAGCAGGCAGATCTCTGAACTCGAGGGCAGGCTGGTCTACATAGTGAGATCAAGGCTAGCCTGGTGTACCCAGTGAGCTCCAGGCCAGCTAGGACGGCAAAGTGAGACCTTGTCCAAAAAAGGAAAGGAAAAAAAAAAAAAAGCCGAAGCCAGCGGCTTTCAGAAATCTACAGATTTCCCGCCAAAGCCTGGGAGGCTGAGTCAATGCTGAGAACGGCACTGACAGCTGCCCGTCACTCTGCTGCCAAGGAGACAGAGGCGGGCGCGCGAGCAGGGCGGAGCCTGCGCGTGCGCGCCGCCGGGCGGGGAGGGGCGGGGCCCGGAGCGCGGGCTGAGGAGCGCGTGCGCGCGCGCGTGAGTGAGGAGCCGTCTGGCCGGCAGGGGGCGCTGAGAACCCGCGCGGCGCTCTGCCTGCCCCCCGGGCGCCGTCCGCCGCGGTTCGATTGGAGCAGCCGCGGAGCTGCTCTTGGCGCCATTTTGAAGCGGAGAGGAGGAGGAACGGCCTGGACTGGCTGCGGAAGGGGAGGGGGGGGAGGAGGCGATTGGATGCGGCGGCGGCGGCGGCGGCGGCGGCGAGGGCGGCGGATCCCTGAGATCGGCGGAGCGCGAGGAGTGTAGGAGCCGGGCGGCCGGAGGTAGGAGCTACTCGGGTAACGGAAAGGGAGCGCCTCTTCCTCGCTTCGGCGCCCCACGCTCCATTTTCCAGCGGGGTGTGCGCGCGTGGAGCCGTCGCTCGCCGAGCCTCGCGTGTCCCGGTGTCCTCGCGGGGCTGCGGTGGGGCCGGGGGCGGGGAGGCCGCGGGCCGCCGCTCGCGCCGGCCGGGAGTGACCTTTGCGGGGGCCGCGGCCGCGCCCCTCCCCCTCCCCCGCCTCCTAAAGAGAAGCCCCCCGCGCGGCTTCCCCCTTCCGGCTACCCGAGGGCCCGGCGCGAGGGGAGGCGCGCTCGCCGCACTGCTCCGGGAGTCGGGGAAGAGCCGCGAGCCGGCGGGGAGAGTCCTCGGGCGACCGCGGGTGCAGCCCCACGGCGGTGCGGACGGCGTGCGGTGCGGGCTCGCCCGCCTCTGCACCGTTATTCCACTGACACTCTAAAAGTTTGCGGTCCGGGAGAAGCCCTGGCGGCGGCGGCGGCGGCGGCTGTGGGTCTGCTTTTTGTTTTGTTTCGGTTTTTGCTCTCTGTACGTTAAAGGCTTATGTTTGCACGTAGGAGCAGGCATGTAGCATGCAGCCGACAGGTGTTTGCAGGGTTGACTGAACCCCGAAATTCAGCACCTGCTCTTCAGCGCTGCATGCTATTCCAGTCCAGTCCTCCGGAGGGGTTTGAAAGAAGAGTGATTCACTGGCTCCATCCTCAGGAGCCCTACCAAGAATTAAAAGTCTCCCTCTTTTTGATTTCAAAGAACGCTGCTCTGATACTTGTGTTAGGAACTGATGGGTGGCAGTAATCGCTCCAAGGAGCGGTCCCTCTGTTGAATACTTGTTGAAGCTTTTGGATGTATTGTTTCATTTTGAAGGTTGGTCTGAAGTCCTGAGAGAGTTGGGGAGGCCTGCGTACTTCACGAATAACCTTTAAAAAGCCAGGTGTCTGTAGCGTAGGAGGTGGGCTGTAGCTAAGTCATAATGACTGAAATGGTGAATGGCAATAATCAGCATTGTTCTCAGCACATGTAGTTAAGAGTTCCAAGAGTGGGTAATTTCCGTGTTAACTTTTGTAAAAGTCAACTAAATTGGCACAAGCGCGGGTTTCAGGGGCCATCTCTTGGCTGTGTACTAGGCACGTCAGATGCTAGTGTTTGGGGGACAGTAAAATGAATACTTGGGAGGTATAGCAGGCCACTGTGGTGACAGCATAAAACCTAACTGATTTTCCAGCGGTGAATTTGGAGGTAAAAAGTTACATGGCAGCCGGGCGGTGGTGGCGCACGCCTTTAATCCCAGCACTCGGGAGGCAGAGGCAGGCGGATATCTGAGTTCGAGGCCAGCCTGGTCTACAGAGTGAGTTCCAGGACAGCCCGGGCTATACAGAGAAACCCTGTCTCGAAAAACCAAAAAAAAAAAAAAAAAAAAGTTACATGGCACATAAGATGAATAAATCTATTCCTAAAACTTAAATATTAAACACTTTTGGGGTGGTGGGGTGGGGGGAGTAGCTCCCTGTGGTAGCCCAGGTTAGCCTGGAACTGGCAATCTTCCCGGTCTGATGTGTTGGGATTACATTGCCACACCCAGCTCATAAAAACCATCTTGAATCAAAACGTTATTTCTTTGAACTCATATTTGCATATGATGTAAATTTAAAAATACACATATATATATAGAAAAGATGTGTTTTAAAGTTTACTACTAAAGTACTAACTTTTCCTTATAGCACAGATGTTTTTCTCTTAGTTAGGTCTTGTTTGACATGTCTCTGATGAGAAAGTAATGCTAGTCTTTTTGCCCTTTTTTTTTCTTTTTGAAAAGAACTTTGTCTTTTTGGTTGAGGTTTTAGTGAAGATTCATCATCAGCTTTGCTTCTCCTGCAGCTTTTGTTAGTGCTCCCAGTTGCCTTTAATCTCCTGGCTTTGGTCCCCTCTCCCTTTCTCCTCAGAAGAGATCATGTGATGATGGTGACTCTTGTCACAAGATGATTTGTACTCAGTTTGTTTCTACCAGGGTTCTAGACAGCTGTTTGATGATCACCATTTAAGTTTTAAGCTTATCCTGAGGTTGTTCTATAGGTTTGTTTAACAGAGAACAGCATTCTAAGTACCAGGCTTTAACAGTAATTTGCTAAGCTAAACAAAATGACACCTTACTTTAGACAGGTCTTGCTCAGGTGAACTGAGAAGTGGTGGGAGAGCTAAACTTGGGAAGGAAGGGAATAATTTGGGGGCTGCGTTTTTCTTACTCCCCTTAGCATATTCGGAGATTGTCTTTTGGTTCCCAGCATGTTACTTCTTGGATCACATGTGTTTAGCATTAATAGGAGAGCTAGTTCACTCTGGATTACAGATTCTTAGGTGACATATAATGCTGTAAAAGTGGACATTTTTATTTCCTTTGCAGGTGCCAGAAAACTACAGAGGAACTTGAGGGTTGTTGCCAGCTCTCTTACAGATAAGAAGTTAGGTTTAGATGAAATGGCCCTGGATGGTTACAGTCTTATCCAAGCGGGAGCATGAGAAGCTGAGAAGTAGTTTCCTGGTGGTCTGTGTTGCTTTGCTTAGGACTTAGCTGTAACTGAAGTTACTGGGATACAACAGATTAGCCTCTGTCCTGTTTTCACTTTCCTCTTATTTCTGCTTCAGAGTCAACAGACTGCTTTAGACTCTGGCTTTAACAACTGCTGTCCAGGATTCTGTTCACCTATCTTCTCTCAGAAGCTAACCAACCTCTTGGAGCCTCTGTTTCTAAGAGCTACTTGCTCTTTTATTGACACTGTTAGACATCCATCCATCCATCCATCTATCCGTCCATCCATGTGACCAACAAGAGTTTTTAAACTTGTAAGCCAAAGTGATTTGGAAAAGTTATTGAGCTTTTTGTTACTGTATATATGAGAACATTATTTACTTTGAAACTTAGTTCACTACACAGGTCATCTGTCACTGTCATTTACAGCACACATTTTATTTGTTCTGTGTATTCCTGCTTGGTATATAAAGATGCAGAAATAATTTAGTTTAAAAATAAAATGAGCAGTTTCCCCAAGAATATTATTGGCCTTTGTTTTTTTGAGACACTGTCTCACTCTATTAGCCCAGGCTGGCCTCAAACTCAGCAGTCCTCCTGCCTCAGCCTCCTGAGTGCTGGGATAACAGGTGTGAGACAGCATACTCGGCTCTTTTCTAAGTTTCCTTAAAAGCTCCAGAGTGATTTGCAGTTCTGATTCCTTGGAGAGTTAGCACTATCTTCTTTTCATTATTTTTTCATGAGCCACCTGATTTTCAACATTCTCCTCAGTACTTGAAAAATACTTTAAAATCTTTTCTCACTAATTAGTTCAAAATTAATAAGCTTGCAGCATTGAGAGTTACTGTTTTTACTGGCAGATTGCTATGTGCCATGAGAAAATGAAGGTAATAAAACTCACTGCATAAAAAGTTAGTGCTTTAAAGCCATCAATCTGAGATATTTAAAAAGATCTCTAATAGTTATTACACTTTGATGATTACACATGAATAGTAAGCAGCTGTCTTGGTTGAGTTTCATAAAACTGGAAAAGTCATGAGTGTGGAGGACACACTGAGCAAAGTAGGAAGGTATTTTGGGACATCTTTTAGGTCTAAAAGTACTCTTCTGTTCTGCTGCACCCCGTTTTGAAGAGAGTGCTGTGAACTGATTCATTGAAAATGTGTAAATGCCAACTCTGTGCACATTGCATTCTAAGGATGGTGCAGCAGACGGACTGAGACCTGACCTGTGGCAGTAGGGAGTAGGTGGAGACCTATACTGAAGCAACGGGGGCTGGCAGAGAGCAGCCCCGCTGCCCCCTTCAGGGATAAGGCAAGGTTCCTGAAGGAGAGTGAAATAGGCCGAGAGTAGGTATCTAACAGGTAACGACCACCAGGTTACAGGCAGCTGTCTTATAGACAGTGCTTAGGACCCTGAAAGGAAAGGAGAGTTGTAGGTGTCTGCTTCCTCGCCCCCCCCCCCCCCCCCGCCTGTCTTATTTTGTTGCAGAGGTAATTTTAGGAAAAGTGAAGAGATTTTAAGGGGAAAGTCCATATTCCGAACTATGTCTGTTACTGAGACTCTTTCAGACAGTTTTAGTTAGCCGTCAGTCATGAGACTGAGGATGGAGGTTGGAGTTGGTGAGATGGCTCAGTGGGTAACGACACTTGTAGTTAAGCTTGAGAGCCTGAGATCTATGTCTGGGACAAATGTAGGAAGAACCAACTTTGGTAAGCTGTCCTCTGATTGCCACACACACTAAATAAATAAATAAATAAATAAATGCAATAAAAAAGGATTGTATATTTTAAGCTAAAAGGTTGTACATGTAAAGAAAAACCAAATTCTTGTACTGGTACAGAAAACTAAAAATAAAAAAATAAAAATTCCAGTTCTTTTGAGAAAGTAACCTACTGTTAACAAATGTTACAGTATCTACTTAAAAATATTTTTAGGAGCAGTATTATGCTATTGTGTTTTGTTTTTAAGAAATAAATTTGCCAGGTGGTGGTGGTGCATGCCTTTAATCCCAGCACTTGGGAGGCAGAGGCAGGCGGATTTCTGAGTTCAAGGTCAGCCTGGTCTACAGAGTGAGTTCCAGGACAGCCAGGGCTCCACAGAGAAACCCTGTCTTGAGAAACCACCACCATCATCATTATCAACAACAACCAAAACAAAACAAAAAACAAAAAAAGAAAGAAAGGAAAAAGAAAAGAATAAAAAAGGAAAAGAAACACTTTCCCTCTTCAAGTTAAGAGTTCTTTTTGTACTGCCATATAGATATCAACAGAATTAAAAAAGAGTATTTTATTAAGGTGCCTACTATAGTTAAGCAATATTAGTCTGCAGAGGACTAGACATCATTGGCGTTGTTAAACTTTGTGTTGTTTTCAATTTGAAGTGCCATGCCTGTCTTACTTTACATTTGCTTTTCTGAGAGTACAGACCTTTGTCCATGTGCGCATTACTGGGAAGTCACTGCA